ACTCACATGTCAGAGAGTTGACCAAAGCCAACGGAGCCAAGCAGGACACCCAGCATGTACAGCGCCTGCGCGATGTAACTCATGGCCTTCTGGTCACAAACGAGGTCAAACTGAAAGAGACATCAACGTGAACTATGTAATGTTACGTACATATAATGTCAAAACGGCTCCATATACATGTACATGTAGAATCCCGGACGGTGAGATATTTTAGAACTCTGGTTTAGATGTTCAATGGCAAGTACCTATTGTCTCTCAACACACGCAAATCATTCCAAGGTCGGGAAGCGGGCCTGTTGGCGTGGCAAAACCAATTTTGACACGAAATCACCCCGCCTGCGGGCGTGCCAAAAGGGTCTGGCCTTCAGACGTTAACACCCATTTGTGTCTCTGAACAGCTGTTTGTTATCACATTTTCCAAATGCGGGGCAAAAAGAGACCAGTGTCAAGTGTGGAGTTTAATAGCTAATGGGCTTCGTACATAGATATGAACCTGTCCTAGCCTCCACCAAGTCTTCCTACGGGGGTACGGTACAAAAAAGGGAAGAATAATTGGCCAGGAGAGTCAGTCCACGGGTAGGCTAATTCCCCCTCCGAAAGGCGCGGGTACATGAACTCTACCGTGACCAAACTCTGATGGCTCTGATCCCCTGGCTAATTATTCTCCCTGTTTCAATAAATTGTACAGTTACTGTACTGCTTTTGAATCCGCGCTGTTAGTCTGGTAGAGACTAAATCTGTACTGCATGCCATAGCATTAGCAACTCAAAATTTTGCCTGACAAAAAAATAATTTCACAAAACGTCCACCCAATTTCCAATATTTCAAACACCCGAGAATTTTGGCATCCTTTAATACTGTGAAATTGCGGCCTTGCCACATCAGCAACAGTCGTTTATCTGTTCACCTCGCAGTGTTTTCAACTGGCTAGTGAGTTGGCGAACAGCCAATGACAGCTGACTTGTTGGCACTGGTTTAAGCTGGTCCCAAGAAGATTTTTTAAACCACGTGACCGCTGGTCACCGTCTATCAATCTTCCAAAGAAACACAACGCCGCTCAGCGTTGGGGATTAGCGATTACTATGCTTGTCAATCAGCTATTTTGTCTCAGGCTGAGCGCATGTTGCAGGTTTAACACGATCGTAGCAGCACACAAAATACGACTCTCACCTCAGTGAAAATACTCTCATGGTATTGACTCCGATCGTACCACCAGCCCTGGTCACATTTCTGGACCTTCCTTCCGTCAGTCTCATTCCAGTCAGCGACATACGGACAGCTGAGATTCCCGAGACTGTATGTCCCCACGTCTCCGTACCGCGTACACTCACTCAACACCCAGTCTTCTTCCTCTTCGTCGTAAACAAGAGGAATGGAGAAGTTGAGAGCACAGGGGTCTTGGGGTTCGAACCCCGCGTCTTGCAATCCGGGCAAGTTGCAGTGATGGCTAACCTTCGCCCCCAAGAAGGACATCGCGAACATATGGAAAGCAACGGGAAGCTGCATCACAAACAACAAGGCGAATTTTAGCTTCTGGTACTTGCCGAAAGAGCCCAGGTATTCCAGGGCTGCGTCGTAGTCAACCATATTGGCTGTAGTATCTAAGATTCGGCTAAGACTGTGGCGAGAGTTGTTGGCAGTTCGTAGTAGTAGTGCTGTCAGGGAGTTGGCGTCTGGACAATGATCACGGTGCTTGCCTGTGGGGATTAACCGTTTCTAGTCCAGCCAAAAATTGCGCTGCATATCTCACATTTACAATATCGAGAATATATTTACAAATTAGCTTCAAGTGAATAGATCAAAACTGTGGTGCTAACACAGATTATTGACACAACAGTTATTATCATAACCACTGCCAAAATCGTACATCCCCCTAATGTAGTAAAGGTACCATCCCCTCAAAAAGAGGGAGCCGCTCTGGAAAAGGTCAGCCAAGTCAGGCTGATAAGGGGCAAACCATTTGTCAAGCTAGGCTGCTTAATTATAACGTTATGTGTATCTTTCGCGTCTACGTCTTGATTCTTGAAGTTTTGAATTTAGAAGTAGTTACTACAATAGTAACTAAGAACTGCAGGAACGCATCTTTACTAAAATAAGTCTAGTATATCGATAATGAAAGACAGAACGGTAACGATGCATAGTAACAATGCCATAGGAATTCGACCTTAGTTTGGGTCAGTATGGCGTTCGCAGGTCAAAGAAGCACAGGACAGACAGTCGCTTACTACTCTGTACTAACTGGTGTTCACGCTTTGTGTCTGTCTATGGAATAAGGCATATACGACATATACGCGTGAGGCTGTTTTGACCTTGAAGTAATCAGAAACCACACACTTGCCATCCAGACTACTAATGGGGCAGTCATACATCGACAGTTTTGGCTAGGGTAAAGTATCAGTAGCTATGCAGTAATTGGATTAAATTGGCCCAGACTGGAACCTTACATTGTGTGATTATATTCATACAGGCATCGTATGTTCTGTTCACATGGTCGACTTCTTAATCTCCTATTCAGCTTACTTCTGTAACCAGAGCGTTAACTTCGATGTAAGGCGAGGCGTCGTTTTTGATGAGTAAGGGAATACTTGCGATAGTCGTGAATTTGTCGCACAAAATGGTTTGTTGTTGCAGAAAATACTTTGATCATTGTCGTCGGTTGGTGGTTCTGCTAGAAAACTTAAAATCGTGATCGCGCCGTAATGCTAGTACTCGTATGTCTTTGCAGTGCACTATGACATATTTGGATTTCCCACTCATTTTCAATATCAATGATGTCATAGTAAGAGTAGTTGTATATTGTTGCGAATTGAGTAGCTCTTTGTGACATATCATCACGGGATTGTGGCGAGCAAATCGTTCGAGAACATTGCGTAACCAAGAAAACACGAGTCAGTGTACGTGAGGGGACGTACACCATAATGGCGCATCGACTAAACCCCCTGAAGAGACTCTCGAAGGGACCCAGTAGACTAGCCTTTGTGAGTGACATCCTGATAGAAGCTGGTTACCTCGTCAGCAGTCTGATGGAGGTCGGCCTGGTCAGTCTGGTGACGGTGGCGGGAGCGACGATAGTCTGGGTACTCACCGAGGACATGCGAGACAACCGGCGGAAGGCGCGCAGGAGACGACCGAGGGACGATTCACCTGCGGACGGCGTGTCACATACCTGAGCACGGGTAGATAATTGGGAGTCTCTCTGTGCTGTCATTGCGATTAGTGCCTACCGTAGAGGCAGAAATCTCCCAAACTATCAACACATATAGGACAAGGCATCAGGCCAAGGAACACATATCAAGAAAATACGAACGTTGGGACCGAAGAGTGAATTCGAACACATACAGGGTACAAGAAAAGGAAGAACAGAGGGAGAAGCAAATTTTTGTGGGCTGTCATACGACTAGTGCCAACTGTAGAGACAAAATTAAATTTCTCAACCCAACAACACATATTGGACAAGGCATCAGGCCAAGAAACATAGCAAGAAACAAGCAATGCCAACCGTTGGGACCAAAGAGTGAACATGTACAGGGTATGAGAAGAATGCGAAAGAACAGACTGAGAACCAAATCACTCAGTAGAATAACTTTATTACACAACTATTGCACAACTATTGTACGCAGCAGATGTTACAGGCGATCATACACAGGAAGAAACCAATGAAGTACCCGTCATGTTCAGAGAGGTACAGAACAACAGCTACAGGTATCGTCACTGTTGCAGGATGGAAGAGGTACATTCAGGGACCGCTAGGTGTCGTTTATATGCCACTGTGGAAAAGTCTATGCCTCAAGTCATGTATTCCGTACATCTGACGGACGCATGCAAGAAATTAATTGTACCGTCGTTTGCTTGAAATGAGACTTGACAGTGTGATTACATTATACGCATACACAAACATCAACTGTTTCATCTTTTATCACTGCTTGTCAGTCTGTAGTGAGCTAGTACATTATCATCGTGTGCCCATACATACGTAGGCGCAGTTTACTGTCAATGTGTTAGTATCATTAGTAGCTCACAAACAGTATGTAGTGAGTTCATTATTCCGACACAATCATAACACCAGACACGTGTTCCTTGTGACATGTCAATATGGTTAACCAGCTGGGCTCCACTTGCCAAAGACACAGGCTGGTAGTTCTTATATGGAGGCTAGAGCTCAGGGGTACATGTACGTGTACTTCCGGCTTGTAACAGCGGTAGTGGGGATCAATAGACATGTAACGTTAGTTCTCGTATACAAAAAACAGTACACGTTAAGGCAATGTTTATACACACGAATACAGGTCGTAAATTTGCGGAAAGGGGAGGAAATGTCACCAAAACGCTAAGTTTAAGCACACTTTAAGTAGCAGTTTTTATGCTGTGCACAACCGACGAAGGTCTCAGGCATCCTAGGCCTTTCCCGTAACAGGACAGATGTACGGCACATGTATATGTACGACTGTCTCAAGAATGTCCTCAGTTTGCGATTGATTGTACGACTATCGTATGATTAATGTGACCGAACCCTTACCATGTACCAGTAGACTCCCTATTGTGTGTGTAAAGTTTCAAAAGAGTTGGTGAGGTAGGTGCAAAAGTTCAAGCGCTTTACTTTGTCTTGAGGTTGCGTTGCTACCCTTCCTCTACCCCGACACACACACACAAATACGGTCTGTCCGGCTACATGGGTCAACTAGAGGACACATTTTAACACAGGTGAAATACGACACTTTCTCACGTACAGGTGAAAACTATACACAAAGCGGTTCTTGGCACACCATAATACGGCATACACAGCCCAGCACAGGAAATGTGGGGTTACGGTGCAGTCAACCCAGTGTACATTCGGTATCGGGTATCATGTTTGGGCAATTACAACAAGAGAACATGTTTTTCTAGACCTTTCCGCAAGTGCGTTTGAGAATCCGGTTAGGCCGGAGGTGGGAGAAACCATTTCGAAACACTCGAGGGAATAAAGACTACTTATTTAAAGTTGACAATTATATACACCATTCAGCACATAGACAACTCTCTGTCGTGTAAAATTAGAGTTAGTAAATAATCTTGTGTTGTTTTATTTATTATGGCCTGTATACACTGAGCCTGCCCTACCCATGCGTCGAGCAATTTTGGACTCGTCCCAGATTCTCTACAATATTAAATGGCGCACTTTTTGACAAGGGTGCTTAAAGAGCTGTGCGAATCTTTCTTGCGGGTCCTTCTCCTGTTGATCGTTGTGGTTTTCCGTAGCTGCCAAGTGTTCTGTCTCCGTGTGTTGCGAGCGGAACGGCGGAAGGACGTGAGCGGGGAGACGGTGCTGATCACCGGGGCCAGCCGGGGAATTGGCCGGTGCCTTGCCTTGGAGTTTGCCAAACACGGAGCTTGCACGGTTGGTATATATCCGGACATGGCTCTGTGTGTGTGTGTTACAGGACGTACCCAGTATGTAGGAGGTTCTATTTCGGGCAACATCACATGTTTAGCACAACAGTGGGACTGAATGTAGGTGACCGATTAGTCTGTACCTTTTCTGGGTCATTGCTAACTTTAAACCAGGGTTAATAGTACTGGTATCTCCAGGAATGTCATAAAACTGGTGGTATGGCGGAGAGGGCAAGAAGGCTAACCAGTAAACCTCTTGTACCCCTCCACAGACATAACGTTTTAACAAATGTCATGATGTACTAAATTATAAAATATATAACCATATCTGTGCCATATAACTAGTCGGGAAATGAGTCACGAATTTTATAGCCCCCTATTCAAAATATGCAATCATCATGGCTCATTGGTTTATTTGTGATATATACGCAATGCGAGTATGTTAAGAAATGGGACTCTCTCAGCATATACGCAGTTCATTTGCAGGCAGACCACATACATGTAGCCTTGCCCAGGAGTTGAATGGGTAACCAAATTATGTTTACCCAGCACACTCTCTATCGGTCTCGGTATCGCTATCGGTCAATGCGGTCAGCCGCCGGGGCGGTCGGCTCTGCCTGCCCGGCTACAGCCGTCACTCGGTCCACATCATAAATGCCATTTTTACGGCACACATAAAAGGAGCCGGGGAGTCGGACGGGTTATTCAACTATTGATTTTGCCTCCTACAACAGGACCTGACCCGTGGGTGACCTGTATGTATGACGTGCAATAGGAGACAGGCAGTCTACAAACACAGATCTACAAAGGTGTCAAAAACCCCTAGCTTTTCGCGTCCTAGTCACGGTCAATTCACTTCAATACATATGTACATTTTACATTAGTACATAAGCTCCAAGCAGATGTTGAGAGGCAAAATCCTAAAGGTTTCTTCTAGCTCCCTGTTTCTGTTACCAAGACTGCATCCCTCATAACCTGTACAGGGGTGCGTAAAGTATAGTTTAAATGACAGGGACTTCATTATTGCTCACCAGAAGTAATACGTTATAATGCTTTAATGGTATAATGCGGTAATACTGTACTCCCCTGGGGCACTGTGCGCATAAATCGTTATTTCATTTCCCTCCTCTGCTCCAAAGAATCAAGGAGGTTTCTTTCACGCCATGGTTGAATCGATATTTTAACGGTACTGCAGACGCGTGTGGCATTGTGGTGGTGCCCAGGCCTCGTGAATATTGGTACGCGTACGTGTGATGTTATAGAGCTTGTTGGGAGATGATTATTCGCCAAATCGAGACTAATCACTGCGAAATTACATCATCAAACCATTTCACGCTGTTAATATACCGTGTGATGCATCCCCGTAAAACATAGGTCCCCCTGGAACGTTTTGACGTAGCTATGATTCTACTGTTACACCGTGTTTTGTCTAGCGGCAAGTCGTCAGAGGAATTCAGTATTCCTCCCCAGTCAGTCCATCTGTCGTCCAGACATAACCAACATTTCGTCTTTGCTTTTCCCGGGAGTAGCCTGGTCAAAACACTGTGATTGTATGCGATATCGGATAGCAGTAGCGACACAGGCTGGAACTTGAGGTTCAGAAGAAAAGAAGAAAATTGCATTCCCGTTTCCTTTGTGGGAATGATCAGAGTTTCATCCGTGAATAATTTCATCGGGTTGGAGAATGATTGAATGGCAAATTTCTTTATTCACAACCACTTTTTTTTAAAACAAGCCAACGTTTCGCTCGGGACTGCATCGCTACAGTTACATCAAGCTTCAGTATACATTGAACCAGTGACAAATAGCTTCAGTGCACAGTGAACCAGTAACACCTAGCTCCAGTGCTCAGTGAACCAGTAACACATAGCTCCAGTGCACAGTGAACCAGTTACACATAGGTCCAGTGCACAGTGAACCAGTAACACATAGCTCCAGTGCACAGTGAACCAGTTACACATAGCTCCAGTGCACAGTGAACCAGTTACACATAGGTCCAGTGCACTGTAAACCAGTCATATTAGCTGCCTGATGAAGGTGACAGACGGTCATTGAATTCGAAATGTCGGCTCGTGTTCAAAATCGTGAATGAAGAGCTTTGCTATTCAAGCATTAACATTTATTTACGATGCGAGTCACGTATAAGGGCTGGATTGGGGCATTCATGAACGTGATCTGATAAACCAACAGACCTTCACCTCTAATGTACTTAGCGAACATGACTGTTTTTGTTGCGAGGGAATCAAAGGGTTCCCCCGGCTCGTTCGACATGAAGGTCATCTATATCTGTAGCAGGCTGCAGGGCAAGGTCGTACACTGCAATACAGTACATATGGGGAACAGGGGATTTGCTGACTGCATATTAATGAATAAATGAATAGAAATGGGATGGAATGGAAATGAATTCGAATTAATGAATGAATATGAATGAATGGATTGAAATAGAAATGAATGAATGATCTACATTGTACAGTATAAATCCTCTTACAAGCTAAGTACTGGTCATGAATAAAGCACAGAGATATTCCACAATATAAAATTTACAGACATATCTCACTATGCATACAAATGTGTATACGTACTACTACCTACCGGTTTGACTTCTATGTTTGTCTAATTCAGAATAATGAATAAGAATTTTTCTGTTGTATCTAAACTTTGGAAACTTATTTTGAATACAATTATTATACAATATATTTCTCTTAATTTTGATACAAATAAATAAAAAAAGCACAATTATTGAGTTAACAACATGGCATTCATCCTCAGTTTTATCTTAATCACAAAATGTGTTGGCAAGATCTTTGCTGTAGAGGAATGTGGAAATGTCTGCCTAATGTTATGTTGAAAACCATCACCAGTTTTTGTGTCCTTTCAGATTATTCTTTGGGGCCGGGATGAAGAGAAGTTATCGTCAGTGAAAAAGGAGGTAGAAGAAATCGGGAAGACTGTGTGTCATTTCTACAGGTGCGACGTTGGAGACCGTGAACAAGTGTACAGAACTATGCAAAAGGTACGTCATGATAGAATGCCCTCTCCCCCCCCCCCCAGATTGTATGACAGCCCTCACTTTTCAGATTCCTACCTACGTACAGAATTAGAATTCAAAACGTTACATTTTCCCTGCACAACCCACATCAAAAGCTAGTACCCGTAGAAACCAATGGAGGTCGGTAGAGGTCGGTAAAGACCGGTAGAGGTACTAGGTAGAGACGTATAGTGGACAGTGGAGGCCAGTAGTGGTAGGTAGAGGCGTCTATTAGAAGATTGACGCCGGTGGAGGTAAATACTCGTAAAGGCGTGTAGTGAAAGGTAGAGGTCGGTAGAGATAGGTATTGACCGGTAGTAGAAGTAGGCAGAGGCGTGCAGTGGAAGGTATAGGCGTGTAGTGGAAGGTAGAGGCCGGTAGTGGTACCTAAGTAAAGGCCGGTAGCGATTGTTAAAGACCGGTATATGTAGAGACTGGTAAAGTTATCTTGTAGGACTCCCTGTAAACAGCAAACATATTGGTAATCGGAGTCTCCACCGTGCAATGCCCCAGGCAACGGCCCTGAACTATGTTATACGGGAACAAGGTACAAGGCAACGGACTGTTCAAGTGGTTGTTTTTCAGGTGCAGGAGAACGTTGGCAAAATAACTATCCTGGTGAACAACGCAGGCGTCGTGCACGGCGGAGCACTGCTGGAAACTAAAGACGACAACATCGAGGACACACTTCGAGTCAACACCTTGTCTCATTTCTGGGTAAGTTTTAACAGATCATGACATACATGCACAGAAGTCGTCTTAAATTAGAATGGTTTAACCAAGGACATACACAGTGTATAATGTCCTTGGTTTAACTTACTGGAATACTGTACTTGACAATGCTGAAATTAACAAGTTTACCTCAAGTTAATGTAAAGAGTTCGAAAATCCGTCTAACATTGCAGGGAGGCCTTACTGTAAGGGGAAAATGACTTGCCCTAAATTTTTAACTGGTCCACTTCTATGGCAACACGTTATACACACAGACCACATCACATGACTGGTGCAATGAGTGTGTCTCACATGACGAGCAATGAGTCAAAAGTTGCTGAAAGTTTATGGCGTCCCCCGTCTCCAACAAGTGAAAATTGAAATAATGTGAAATTCCAATTGGTCGCAACCTTTTCTTGTCACATGTGTTTCAGACAACCAAATCTGTTCTTCCATCCATGCTGTCGAACGGCCGCGGTCACGTGGTCGGCATAGCCTCGACATTAGGGCTGTTCGCGCTGCCCGGGGTTTCAGACTACGTCACGTCCAAGTTCTCCGTGGTCGGGTTCTATGAGTCTCTGGCGGCGGAGCTGAGAGCACAGGGCCGCCGGGATGTCGGGGTGACGTGCGTGTGTCCCGGTCACACCACTACGGACATGTTCAAGGACCTCACTACACAGTACGGATATGCCTTCTTCACGTTCATGCATGTACAGTATGGTATTATCTTTGTGGAGCACATAGGCCTGAGATCCAGTTTTACTCTAGTCCTGAACACTAGGTCCAGAGTTAGCCAGCAGTAGCCTCTAACAGGCTTCGGGAGGCATGCCAGTGGAGTTGGGGTTTGGGTGCGGTGCGGCAAACTGTACTTTCTACCGGACCAACTCCCCTGGCATATTATCTCTCTCTTTGGATAAATTCTACTCTTTCCAGCCGCCTCCCGAAGCCTGGTAGAGGCTAAGTCAGCAGGGCCCCTAACCGAGGGGGGCTGTGTTAGAGGAACTGGCCTGTTTAGGCCCTGGAAACCGTCTGGCTCCAAGGCTAGTTTGACTTGAGTCGTCACTTATGGCACTGCCCACCATTTCTCTTATCTACAACCAACATGTGGCGCCACTGGTTAATATTGCTGATGGTTATTTTGTTTGGTGTTCCTTTTCTGTACACAACAGGTCATTTTCCCTGACGCCTCAGCAAGTTGCTGAGCAGACGGTAGACGCCGTAAAAAACAACCAGCGTCGGGTTATTCTTCCCCGGATCATGCATTTTACCTGGATACTCAATAGGTTGGTATCTATACCTCAAGTTGTTTCATGTATGTGTCCATAGGTATTACTCTCCAAGCAGAGGTTTGGACTTAAATTGGCTTATTTTTTTGCGTTTTTTTACTTTTTTATCGCGCCAAACCAACAAAAAAAGATATCAGTACAATAAAGAACGCCCAAAAAAGCCTGCCTACAAACACGCCCAAAATAAGCCCAAACCTCTGCCTGGAGAGTACATAGGTATTAGTATATACAACCTATTTTGTACTTTATTGTACATTTTGCCTCACTGGGTCACGCACAACAATTGTACATAAACGTGAACTGAGCATTCTATGACCAAGCACATACAACGTATTTTCCATATTTCAGCTGGCTGCCGGGCTCTTGGATGCGAACCGTGCTGTACGTCACCGGAGCGATGAAAGACATGGAGAACTTTTGTGCCAAGCGATGATGCCACTCATGACGTCACTTTACTGTTTCACATACTCTACTGACATGGTGTAGCTGGCGAAACAAACAGGTGCAAACACCTGGACATGGAACATAGCACCATGGAGGTAGTTTTACCTCCATGATAGCACCAAGGGGGAAACACAGTCAGCTGGCGTCACAAGTCCTAACTGTTGAAGTGAGAACATTGCGGATACAAGATTAGTCGCGTTTGGGACCGCATCATTCTCACTGCAGCGCCACCTAGCGGTGGGCAGTAGATAGAAGCAATCCTTATTTGTCGGTGGAAGGTTAAAGAAGTACATGTATAAAGACTATCGAAACGTTGGCACGAGTTGTACCTACATTACAATATGTAATATATAATGTTTAAGTTCGTTATAAAGTCTATAAATTCATGTAGAAATATAAAATACAGAGACGACGAAAAATACAAACATACATGTTTACATAGGCATAATGTTTTAGAATGTTTCTGATTTATTTATGAAGATTTACCACATTTGTGGAAGGATTGACATAACAGGTGAATATCACCTTTTCAAAGATGTCAACCCCGAGACCAGACTGTAAGGTTTGAACCACTCACACCGGGAAGGTCCCCTACTCTTTTCGATAAGTACGGTGAGTTCTTTAACGTGCGTGGGGTATGGCTCTCCCAAACACGGGACCTCCATTTAACGTCCTATCCGAGGGACGTCCCTAGCCGAAGCTAGGTACTCATTTACACCTGAGTGAAGTGAGGAAAGTCGTGTAAAGTGCCTTTCCCAAGGGCACAAGATCGGTGACATGGGTAGGGTTCGAACCCGCGACCTCTCAGGTGTGAGCCGAACGCGCTACCGACTGCGCCACACGACCCCACCTGATTTGTGTGTGTGTGCGTGGGGGGTGGAGGGGGTGATAGGTCCCAATCATCTGGCTACAGCACAAAGTCGGTACGACTTTGGCGACAACGTAATGCCAAATACGCCGTCCGTAGACGGTGTTGCAGAGCCCTCTGGCGACACAAAGGAGAACTGCTGCATCATGGCCGTGAAGAACAGGAACAGTTCCATCTTGGCCAGACGCTCGCCCAAGCACATTCGGCGACCTGAAATAAAACAAACGCAACAATTGTCGAAATATTGTTTGGATTTTAGGTTTCACTCTTTTATATTTTATGAAAATAAAATCACAAAACCACGCAGTTACCATGGAAACTCACCAACTGAAAAGGGCATAAAGGATTCCGGATTCTTGATGAGCTTCCCGTCCCGGTCCAGGTGCCTGTCCGGATTGAATCGTTCCGGATCAGGCCAGAACTCCGGATCCATGTGTGCCGACCACAGGTTTGTTATCACCTAGTATGAAATAGGACGACACGGAGTAACTCTGAAATCCTTTCAACAAAATAGATCTACATCTCATCCCTACCGGGCGGTCTGTTGAGTTGAACGGGGGAAACTATTAGAGCCCTCAAGACAGTCTGCCCCAACCACGACTGGATACCAGGCTAGAGTATTACCTGTGTTCCAGCGGGGATACGGTACCCCCTGAAGGCGGTGTCTACCGCGGTGGCATGCGGCAGGTTGAGCGGAGTGATGTTGCGGATCCTCTGGGTTTCCCTCAGCGCTGCCTCCGTGTAGGGCAGCCGGGGTCGCTGGGCCAGGGTTGGCGGGGCCCCGCTCTTCCCAACAACGCTGTCCACCTCTTCTTGAACCTTATCATTGAAGGAGAGACGAAAATTACTTCGCAAAAGCTCAAAATATAACTTGGAACATTGATCAATCACCATTAAGTCCAACCTTAGCGGCGAAGAGCTTGGAAAAGTTGATGAACAACTGTCGTATTGTTGCTCTCCTCTTTTCTATAAAATATTCAGAACATTCCGTGTTTTTGCTCTCATACGTTTGGGCTTAGAAACGTTGCAAGAAATTTTTGTTTGATGTACGTTTAGGTGTAAATCTTGACTAGCTTCGCTAACACTCCTAGAACGTCTCTTTTTTTATTGATGATGCCATCATGTCAAACAATTAATCCGACAAGTGCCATAGATTCTACATAATATTATGTCGTCAAAGTCTACCAAAGAGGAAAATAATCCCCAGCCTACCCGATTCTGTATATCTGGGTTCAGGATCATGTACAGTATTACCCAGCGTAACGTCGTGGTCGTGGTCTCCGTTCCCGCCAAAAACAGGTTCAACACGATGTACATGACGTTTTCTTCTGTCAGTCCTTGAACCCTGTCGTGACCTTGAAGTTCTAACAGGCACATGTCTAAGAAGTCCTGTGGGTTTTCCGGGTCAAGGACAAGGCGCTGGCGATGTTCCTCTATCTGTTCCCAGATGAAGTCCTCGATCTTTTTGATGTCGGCTAACACTTCCGTACAAGCCTTGTTTACTTGAAAGAAAGCAGCATAAAACATAGATATATATTAGCCTTTTATAGTAGGCTAGACCGTGTGAAGGTAAACATTATGCAATTGCTTTACAAACATTAGCTTTCTAATTTTATCTTATTACCCATATATATGCATAATAATGTACATTGATAACTGCAAATCCAAAAAGCGCACACTTACATCCAGGTACAAACCGGAGGAAAGGGAAGACGTTGAAGGCCTGCGCTGTGCTGACCCTGGCTGACCCCTGCACCACACCTTCGCAAAGGGCTCGGACTCTTTCGTCATCGGAACAGAACTGTTGCCCGAACACGAGCGCGCAGACGACGTTTGAAACCGCGTTGTTCAAATCGCTTAGCAAGTCGAAGGGTTGAGAATTTTTCGCGGAAATCTGTGAGAAATACAAGAACAAGCTATCGATGTTTTTCATTGAGTTGGAAAAAAGTTTTTTTTTTCCACTATGTGATTAGTCGACCGTTGGGGCACCACAAACGATATGACAAACAGTACGGTCAACTAATTACTAACCGTATGACAGAGTTTGTGAGCTTGCTGTCTGATGACGTCCTCGGCACTTCCGGTTCCTTCCTTCATACCCAGAGTCTTCAGCACGCTGCTGGCGAACCGTCGTCTCTCTCTGTAGGCCTGGCCCCACCTCGCCATGACGATATCTGGTAGTGCACAGAACACGTTAGATTACGTCCCTGTCACACATAGCCTCTCACTATATGGCCTCATTATCTTTGTGTTATCACTGCTGTTACATTTTTCTAATATTAATAGCATCTTTTGTTTATTTATCTATTAATAATTTACATAGTACTGATTACTGGGGGCCCGCAAGCCCTTTTCCGTAGAGCGTATTCGGCGTTTTAATCCTACGTAATGCGTTGTAGCCACTTGGAATTTATCGTAAAGCGTAATCGAGAGGTTTCCGAAATCAGAGTAGAGTGTTGTTGGGACCCCCCCTTGCAGGCCCTCATTACTACCTTTGCGTTCTTGTTAATCCTGTGTTTACGTACGTCTTAGCTCACTTGCACTCTTGTGTTTCTATTATTGTATTTATTGTATTCTAGGGTGCGCATGGAACTTAGTGTGTGTATTATTACTAGTAACCTCCCAAGGTTGAAGAAATGTTAAAGATGTTCAGTGAAACATGATGTACCTTTTCCGCATCCAGATACGGCGTTGGGCAGGTAAAGATCTGGCCTGCTGGAAAACATATCCCGGCAGTCTACCAGCGCCTCCCTGATCACCCTGTACCCGCTCAGAACCACCGCCCTGTCCAGCCCCATCCTGATGCTGTACACGTCCCCGTACTGTCCCCTCCACTCCGTCAGCTTGAGGTGCGGCCGCGCGCCCAGAGACAGAAGGTGCCCCAGCAACGGCAAACCGCCCGCCGGGGAGGGCGGGAAATCCCGCAGACGGTTCACAAACAGATGCGTCAACAAGAAGGCCACACAGAACACAAGAAAAGTGTACACATTGAAAGGGAAGAGACCGAGAAACCAAGTGCCGAACGCCATAGTTGTCAACAAGCCCTTGTAAAGGTCAAAGTTCAACAGGTCACCACATGACCTTTACACTTACCTGATGACCGGATAGTGTCTACATATGTGTTTTCAAGAAACTAAAACAACAAGGCATTGACAGGTTGTCAATGAATTGTGTTTTCAGCTTGTTGTTGGATAGTCGTCTTCGTCTATTGGAAAACTGATAATAGAAACCCGTCTGGATTCAGATTCAGGTCATCGAGGAATTTTCACTGAAAGAATGCTTAAAACTTGCGATATGACAAATGCGGCCACTTGACTAGCACACATGCACGTAGGGGAATGCAGCACTAGGGAACAGCCAGGCTGTTATATATCAACTTGTCAGTCTTTGTGTACAGAGTGTGCAGTGCAAAACGTCAGCGTTTTCCGAGTACTTCAAGCCTCGATGCAATACGTTACGTAATGCTGACCTTTCGTCTGAAATTTTCTGTTCGTACGCAAGGATTGGTTTTCTTTAGGTCAATATTGAATAGGGATTAGTGAGTATGACACTTGTGAGGGCCCACTAAAGCATCATGAGATGAAGTCTGGGCTGTCTTGTAGACAAACAAACCAACCTTTTTAAAGTGCAAGTATGTGAGAGAACGTTCCAACAGATAGAGAGATTGATGAAGTCTACGAAGCGGTACCTTATACTAGCAGCTACACCCCTAAACGTAAACATACCCTGTGACCGATCTTTGTTTACTGTCAACAAACACAGCACACATACACGCCCCCAAATAAATCTCACGACATCGCTCGCCGCGTTCATAACATTTGCCTTTGACCAGTTTTATCCGGGCTTCGAACACTGACCCAAAATGGTGGACTACGACGCCGCTCTCGGCTACCTGGGGTCGCTTGGAAAGTACCAGGCGGCCCAGGTGGCCATGATTTGGCTCATTGTCTTCCCGGGAAACTTTCACATGCTGTCCATGCCTTTTATAGGCGCACGGGTAGGTAGTTTGAATCTTTCCCATATCTGCACTCGTACTGTCCACTCTATAACGTTCTACCAGCACACACATTCCTCAAGCTAACCGGCATCTCGCACACATTCCAATACTATAGATTTAAAGAAGCACTTTTCGATTATGTGTTAAGTAAATTTCCACATTTTAGGTATTTGATCAATTGAATAGTATACAGAAATCTATATTGCGTACAGTCCTCGAGCTGTAAGCAATATAAATTACCAAGAAACGAGAAGTCGAAAGTACTAGAAAATACTAGACGTATACATCTATATAGCTGGTTACATGTGAGCTGTGCTTAGCCCAGTGGGGCAAGATTTACAACAAAGGTGTTCATTCATTCATTCATTAAAACGCTATATATTGTTCTACCGGCACACTTTAAGCGATTGTTTTCTTCTTTTTTATTTCTTTTTTATAGGTTTCACATCACTGTGCAATTCCTGAATCCCAAGCTGCGGGATTACAACCTGAGGACGCCTGCGTTCTGAACTACTCTCTCCCGTGGACGTACGACCAAACGACGGAGACGTTTTCCCCAAGCTCATGCCTTCGTTACGACGTCAGCGTGTACGAGCTTGGGAATCTGTCCTGCCCATTAATGAGAGACACGACAGAAAACAGGACAGAGAAACCCTGCGATGCAGGCTGGCTGTATGATCGTCAGCAGTACAAGAGCAGCATTTTTATGGAGGTCAGTCTGTCTATAAGTATTTTATGCGCTCATTACTGATACTGAATAACAGGGGTCTGATTAGGTTAATACCCGTGGGCGGAATGGAACCTTCTCTCGGCGACTATGTAGGATGGCCGGCTATATTAAAATAACGCGTTAAAAACTCTTCCCCATCGCCGCGGGGCGCGGCCTGCACAGAAGGCTATTAATACACTGACTCTTGAAGGCATCCAATGTTCCCCTACACTGCAGGTACCACTTGCAATAATTGATTAGGCTTGAAAGACCAGCTGATGTAAACAAACCCAGTCGCCATATCAAGGGCTCCAAGTTAATGATTCAGTTAATTACAACTGGTGGTCAAAGACGTCATCCCTTCGTAATGCCATTGCTTGTTGAAATACTTACTGCGAAGAAATAAAATCTAGGCACAGTCTGTGAAATTAGCCTGGAGTCCAGACTTCTTTGAAGCTTTGCTCCGCCCTCCAAGATCTGCGGCAGTTTAGCGGATTAATTCAAAGCTAACAAGGCTTGACTCTAGGCTACTGTGAAATTACAGTTCGTCCGCCCTTCACAAATAAAGAATGATGAAAGGTCAGCAGATGAAAACAATGGAAGAGCGACTTACAAAATTTGACAATGCGCCCAAACAAATTGTACGTCTCCTTGCAAATGACTGTTTCCTTATATTTGATCAGGTAGCAACCAATTTTCAAACAGTTAGATATAAGACAAATGCATGTCGTGACCAACCCAATATAGGCAATAACAGATAATTAAACCAAAGCTCTTACGCCACTTCCTTTACCTAAAGCCCTTGTCACACATAGCCAGATATGGCATCCCGAACACTGGCCGAACTTCCTACAACCATGGTTAGGAATAGGTCTGGAGCAAGGTCGGCTGGATCAGCTGGCGTTCGGCCAGATTGGCCTCTGTTCGGTTGCGCCAGCCAAATCAAAACATTCAGGTATATGGGCGGGAGTACAGAAACCGAACTTCAGCCAACATTGGTTGGCTGGTATACAATGCCACGAATCCGCTCACACAGGTGTAAAATTAAAATGTATTGTGTAATGATGTTAAGGAAGTATGAACAGATATTATAGTCGATCAGCATGTTTGTATTTCTCCAGTTCGACCTCGTGTGTGAAAACCAGGCCCTGAACAACCTGGCACAGGCCATGTACATGTTGGGAGTTCTCATTGGGTCTATCGGCTTCGGACAGCTGTCAGACATGTGAGTACATGTACGCTTTTAGACACTGTTTATTTAGCCATTCATTCATTGTATTCGTCTATGCCTTCATCCATTTATACATGTATTCGTTCGCTCATTCAATGTCACAATGGAATTACGTGAAAACTGTAACGTTACATCTCGAATAGTTCTGTCTTTTGGCAAGTATTGTCCTTGAGGAAGAGGACTCTTGTACTAAAGAGTTCAGATACATTTTCTCTTACCCTTCAACTTGAAAATTAAACTTCAACTTAATGAAGCTATATGCACTCAAGAAGAGGACGCCTAGGTAAAACATTTATCGTACGGTTGGTTTCCATCAATTTAGTCCACCAAAGAGTCCAGAACACTGCCATTCATTGGTTGTATATGTCATGTTCACTTCAGTATCGGCAGGAAGAAGACCATGTTCCTGGCCATCTTTGTGCAAGTCGTGTTCGGGGTAGCGACGATATTCGCGCCCAACTACGCGGCGTTTGTCATCTTCCGTCTGATCGTGGGAGGGGGAGTTCTGGGCGCCTTCCTTTCCGGGTTTGTGATAGGTGCGTAAATGTATATCTTCCTCTTAGTTTTGTCTTAACTAAATAGAGTCATTGATTTCTGTGATAGTCCATTTTTAGGTTGGCCTTGTCTAGCCTAGGTGCCGTCACTGTACAAAATCCAGTCTTTCCTCACACCTTAGAGCATGCGAAAATGTGGCTTTTTTTTAATGTGGCGTTTTTTTTTAAATGTGGCGTTTTTTATATATGTTTAAAGTGTGCTTAAAGGTAGGCTTTCGTGCAGTGAATCCGATTTGTAATGGCGCTCCTTATTTAGCCTTGGCAAGCAAAGTAAGTAAACATTGCATCTGCCTTCAAAACTACATAGCACAAATATGTTAAGCCTTATCCTTTAACCTTGAATTCCATTGACAGTATCGTGCAAGATCTAGAAAACCATGAGACGAAATCATTGTTATGAAATGTATTTCAGTAACGGAGCTTGTCGGAGCGGATAAGAGAACGCTTGTGGGGACGTTACTACAGGCGGCGTTCTCCACCGCTAACATCGCACTGGCGGGGATCGCGTACGCAGTCCGGGACTGGCGCACACTACAACTTGTAGTCTCGGTTCCTAACATAGCCATGCTGTTCTTCTGGTGGTACGCAGCGTTCCTTTATGTTGTGATTATGATTCTACTGGTTTAAACAAAAGGACATGAAAAGGGATAAAAGGTGTCGATTATAATACCACTTGTCAACCTTCAATGAATGCCCTTTCATTCATATGTTGCCTCTACTTTTACCTTCGCAAGAAGGTTAAGTTTTGATTGAATGACTAAGATAAGACTGTCATTGGATGACTTTGTAAAGATAAGACTGTCATTGGGTGAAGAATACGATTATATCAATTACATATACTGATATAATCAATGCAAATGAGGATACAATATAAATGAGAAACTTATTTACCATTCGCCAGTCGTAAAAGTTAACATCATCTGGCGAAGGTATGAGATCGTGGAACTCTTGTAGCTACTAAAATCAGTACGACAGAAATTATTATATCACTTTGCCTCTATTCTTAATGTATCGTAGACGCGTGTGTTATAACATGAGAGTTTGTTTTTTCTTTATTGAAAAGGTTTGTAGGGGAGTCTCCCAGGTGGCTGCTGTCCAAAGATCGTGACGAGGAGGCGGAGGCAATCGTCCGGAAAGCCGCGAAAATGAACGGAGTCACGATTCCCGAGGAGGTCTACAGCACAAAAGTGCAACGCGCCGAAAAAGAAGTAATATTATCCAAACAGTACTAGTATCTTGGGAAATAGACAATATTGATATCTGGTTTTACATCATCTTTAGAAGTTTCTAATGGTACGTTTTATTTTTGTTATTCTGACATGAAATCTCGAAAAAAACTCGATCTCAAAAAGTAGAAATTATATGTTTTGAGGCAATCCACGGCTTTTTCATGCCACTCAACTTAAACGGCAGTTGGTCATTTTGTTTGGTGCAAAATGGAGAGACTCGTGGTAACTTTTTGACATTTTTCCTAGCCTGTCGACGAGAAACGTTACAGCGCTATCGACCTGGTCAGGACTCCAAACATGGCCAAAATGTCCGTGGTCGTCTTCCTCAACTGGTGAGTTAACAATACGGAGCTGGTTCAGAATAAAACGGATCGAAACCGTTTTCGAGCGTCCATGTCCACAAATAATCCGATTTATCCTACCGAAACGAATCAAACCGTTTTGCAGTGCGAACGGCGCCAAACATTTTGTAATTATGCCGTTTGTCTCCCCATAGGTTAGTTGTGACGATGGTATTTTACGGCCTGGCGCTGAACACGTCATCACTGGCCGGTGACGACTATCTCAACTTCTTCATCAGCGGCGCTGTAGATATCGTGGCGTACTTCATCGCAGTCTTTGCCATCGAGTATTTCGGAAGGTAACTTTTCTCATTTCAGATCTTCAGTGTTTTTTTTTATTATTTCAATTTCCCACAGTAAGCAGAGCGTACCAGGTTTGCTGGTGGTTTGGTTTAGCGCTGGTGATACCCTGTCGGCAATTACCCATTCAACACGGGACTCTCATATCCGTTTTTGTTGTGGCGTTCCAACTTCAATTACTTCATTTTTGTACCCTTACCTTCAGGCGCAAGCCACATGTTTCCCTGATGCTGATTGGAGGGATAGCCTGCATCATCACTCCATTCTTGGCGCCGCCTTTCCTAGCACAGAGTAAGTACAACAACAACAATTTATCATTCTACTAATTTTGTATATGGACTATTCTATTTGCATGTCAGTACATTTAACTCGGCGTACTTGTAATTCACAGATTTGAACGCCATATCCGTCACTACGTCTATGATCGGCAAGTTCGGCATCACCTCTGCTTTCACCATCATTTACATCTGGACAGTCGAGATGTACCCAACAGTGGTCAGGTGAGAGTTATTTTCCGTTACTGGAAATATATAAAAGTGAAAACTTCGAGTAACCATAAATACCGTTACCATGTTGTCATCCTTCTGTCTCGAGAGACAATGGAGTTCGCGCCATGGATCAGTTCATGGTTAAGTGGCGTCGCCGTTACCATAACTTACCATAAATACCGATTTGTACGTAAAATAACTTATCATGGCGACGTTGCTTCTAGAAATGTTGGAATCGGAGCGTCCTCCATGTGGGCTCGAGTTGGCGGCATCATCTCCCCGTTCGTCCAGCTGTCGGACCAGGCGTGGGGGCCGCTGCCCTACCTGATCTTCGGCGCGCTGTCCGTGGTGGCCGGGCTGGCGGCCTTGCTGCTGCCGGAGACGCTCGGAGTTCCCCTGCCGGACACGCTGGAGGAGGGAGAGAACTTCGGAAAGTGAGTAGACTGTACTATTTATAGAGGAACCTGGACCACGATATCGTTCGATACGGTTGTTCCGGCCTGTGTGATAACTAGCGGTATCACACGGGCTTCCAAAAGTGTCATAGAAAATTCAAATACCGGATTTGGACGTTGGAATTGATGTTACAATTCTTTGTCCTCTTAAATATTCAAATGCATGTGTACACTGGTATACTCAGTGGCCAATAGTGGGCACAGACTGGCCGACTGCTGTATCATTTCTTTTCTTTCATTCTTTCAGAGACAAGAAGGTGCCATCAATTAAGAACGGCTCAAGTGTGGGAGCGAGGGAGAAGGAGAAGGAGGCACACGTCAACCCGGCGTTTACCACATCACTCGGGGATCGGAAGGGTCGTGCTAGCTCCGTGGACAGTGACACGAGTTACCGGGCAGCTATGGAAGTCACACAGTTATAGATATTGGACAACATGTCTAACTTTCAAAAATGTTTGTACATCATGTTTAGGCCATGTTGATTTGATTATATGGATGACATCCTCCGGGAGCCCCAAAACTGATGCGCGCGTGCGAATAAAAAAAAGTTTTGCAAAAAAAAAAAGTTCTTTTCATTATGAAATCTACGTGGTCATGAGGGTTGAGCAAATGGCACAGAATATGGTTTGGCGAATAATCTAGTCTTCAAGTTCATTTCTTTACAATTTCGTCTTTTTTCGTTTGATTTTGGCATTCTACGACATTGGTATAGTTTTTATTAATTTTTTTTGTAACTTATGGTATATTTTTGCTTATTTTGCAACTGTTTTGTACGATTTACAGTATGGTTGAAAACTTTTTTTTTTGAAACGGCCGAAAATTCATGCGCGCGCGGATGTCATCCATATACATGTAATCAAATCAACATGGCCTTACCTTTAAAAAATAGTTGTACATCATGTCTAGTTTTCACAATATTTGTAACGAAAATGTATATGCAAAAACGACACAGATAGCCAATCAATTGTAATTCAGATTGTTAAAAATCGATAACTCACGCTCAATTCTGTTTAAATTTTCATATATGATATTGTATATTTAAGTGGGGCTGGCAAAATAAGTAGTTCAACTTGAGTGCAGCGTCACTTTGTTGTCATGTTGAATAAAGAGATAACTCACTGTGTTTCTCTTGGTGTGCTCCTATTATTATGCATGTATAATTGTAAGTGTACGGTGGAAATCTTTAGGGGGTACTATTTCTGTTTGTTTAGCCAAGGAGCTTTCATGAAAGTTTAGCATTACTCCCTACCCATCAAATTTATCTGATATGGAATGAAGTACATGTAACTGCAAATTTGCAATAAAACAATCTCGAGTACGAATGTTATTGAGTCGTTTCATTTGATATAAAATGAAGACACCATTGTTAGACTACACGGGACGGCTCCCTGCTTTTTGCCCTCATAAATTAATCATAAGCTATCGGGTCAACTTGGCAGCCCGGTTTGTCGGGGTCAGTCTATCCGCCGGGAGATCAGCATGGCGCAGACAGAACAAAACAAAGAGCTTCGCTTGCTCCCACAGGATTTAAAAGCTGTTTGTCTCTGCTAGTCTGTCGCCCTTTTCAAGCTGTATAATGACCTGACCCACCGCTGGACGCCTAGAACCATTCTTTCCTTCAACATCATCGTTTAGAAAAGACAGAATCATGGCCAGCGACGACCGAGCCGGCGAATCTAGGCCGCTTCTTCCGGGCCCAAACAAAATGGTGGACTACGACGCGGCCCTTGGCTACATTGGATCGTTCGGGACCTACCAGAAGATCAAGTTTGTTCTACTGTTGCTGTTGTGCATTCCTGTTGGGATCCACATGTTGGCCATGCCGTTCTTAGCAGCCAAGGTAAGATGAGCTATAGAATGGGTTCTGTAGTAATGTTGTATGTTATGTCAAGGACAGGGTTGTCCTTTGTTCACTTCAGTCACATGCCGGTCATATGAGGGCAGTGACGCAATCGACGGAGGCAAAATATTTACATTGTACTTCTATTAAAGCAAGGAGGTTCCGAGTGGGGTTTCCGAGTGAGTACTTTGCGAGTAAGAAAGGAATTTTAATTACCACTCAGTATAATGATAATTGATGAATTACAAATTCCGACATTTTTGTTTGTAAAATGTAAAACAAAAATGTCGGACTTTGTTCAAAAACAAAAACTTTATTCATGTAAGTGTTGAGGAACTACTCAACACTATCTAATATTTTATATGTACATGTACATGGAGTTGTAAAATATTGTACAACTCCATGTATCATGATGTAAGAATATGTAATATTTGACAACTCCATGTATATGTAGGAAAAGATATGAAATATTCTACAACTCCATGTATATGTAAGAATATGTCATATATTACAACAAGTACATGTACATGGAGTTGTAAAATATTTGGCAATCAAGTCCGTATATTAATGAATCAATGCAATATTGTTACTGTTGCTGATGCATCTGACATGTCTGCCAGGTATCTCACCACTGCGCAGTCCCAGAACTCGCGGAGGCAGGACTAGCTCCAAACGACTCCTGCGGACTCAACTACTCTCTCCCCTGGGTGACAGACAAGGATGACAACACAGAGACACCTAGCGAGTGTAAGCGGTACAGCGTCAACAGGTACGAGTTGGGAAATCTGAGCTGTCCATTCGAACGTAACCACAGTGAAGCGAACAGAACAGTTTTGGACTGCGACAAGGGGTGGTGGTACGATAGAAGAGTCTACAACAGCAGCGTGTATATGGAGGTGAGTGTGTGTACTTATCATGTTGATATTTTGATAAAGAAGCGTAATAACAAATGATCAGTTATTATTCCTTTTTGATGACGCCTCTCCAGTGGAACATTTTAGTATGTTACACTATTATGTATTAAAATTAGCTCTAACAAGAAACCCTAAATCATAAGTGTTCGCAAAAGAACCTAAATTAGGGTTACCATGAAGAGAAAACCCTCAAATTAATAAAAATATATATATACCAGACAAATGCCTAACATTGGTTCAAAACTAACATTACAAATTACTTTCTTAATTGCCAGGTTAGCTTATTATGTTGCTGTTAATCTTTAATAAATTATTTTTTGTGTTTCTTGTGGATCCCGTAGTTCAACTTAGTTTGCGAGGATGAACCTTTGAACAACCTGGCACAATCCCTGTTCATGGTCGGCGTTCTGATTGGCTCCATCGTGTTTGGACAGTTATCAGACTCGTAAGTACAGTTTACCACATCTCACAATAAGTAGATATATATCTTGCGACAGGATTTCTTATTATAAACAATCACTTTTGCTTTTCTCAAAATCAACCTCTCGGTACAGGTGTCGTGGCTTTGACAGTGCATTGTATTTGAATGTAACAAGGTCAAGGAAACTTTTAAAATTCAGTTTTGCGCCCTGAAATTGGATGCCTTTAAGGTGGTCAGAAAGGGTGGCTGAGGACTTTTGGGACATCTTAAAATACTACTTAGGATTTCCCATGGTCAATGATTTTTTTGTGCAAGTACCTTAGTGCAAGATGATAATTTATGCAAATTTTGATGACGTAACCATACCATTATCAGTACAAAACACGTACCTACTTTTGTACATCATTTATCACTATCATACCCCTTCTCAGTATCGGAAGAAAGAAGACGATGTATTTGGCTGTACTCTTACAACTTGGTTTCGGCGTGGCGACCGCCTTCGCTCCGAACTACGAAGTTTTTGTGGTCCTCCGTCTTTTGGTTGGCTTCACCGCCATGGGAGTCTTTCTACCGGCTTTTGTGATCGGTACGTCGATTCTTTACCATCTTCATTAAAGAATCCATGATAAAACATACCTGTAATTATTATATGTACTAATTGGTCTACCTGTAGACTAGCATTCTGCAGTAGTGGAATATTACATTATCTATAAAAACGTATACGATGTAAGGAAATAACGTACACCAAACATGATAAGGTCAATGATAGTTAACGTTACTTCGGCAGTGTCATTATCTTCCCAACAGCGACAGAAATGGTTGGCGTGGACAGAAGAACTCTGACAGGAACCCTGATCCAGTCGTCCTTCTCCGCGGGCGGGGTGGTGCTGACTGGAATAGCCTACCTCATCAGGGACTGGAGCCGGCTGCAACTCGTCATCTCACTCATCAACGTCGTGTTAGTCCTTACATGGTGGTCAGTACAGTCGAACTGTTTTTCAAGATATTTTTTCGTACTTGCCTAAATTGCTTGAAAATGACAACGTAATGGTATTATGAAGAATGAAGAAAGAACCGCAACACCAGTCTTTTTCTGCTTCTATGACGTCACTTTATGCAAATTGTGAACACGTGAGTCGGTGAGCAGTGGGTGAGATGTAGCAGAGTGTTTGTGGCGTCCTCCGTCTCTAATATGGACGGTTGTAAGGACCCAACCTTATAGCAGTATGGTGAATCATACAGAAGAATGCCGTGCGTCAAAATAATCCATAAAATGTGGTTTACCAACTCTTTTAGGTTTGGAATCGAATCTCCAAGATGGCAGCTCTCCAAAGGGCGGAATGAGGAGGTAGTGCGCATGATCCGCCGCGCTGCAAAGGTCAACGGGGTCACGGTTCCAGACGAAGTGTTCCATGCCGGGAGGAAACAAATCACAAATGATAATAAGGTCTGACCTTGAAACGTTTTTTTTTCTTCGATTTCATTTTAAACATATCAATACACGTTTGCAAAAAAAAAAAGAAATAACTATTTTGTTATTACGTCGTCTGACTTGCTGGATACATTGCACTATACACATTTTTTTGACATATTGACTTTTTGTTCCACACAACAGAGGCAGTACAACATTTTCGATATTGTCCGGACTCCAAACATGGCCAAGAAATCTGTCATAATTTTTCTCAACTGGTAAGCCCATTGATTCTTATGTGTGTTAATACTAGAAACCAGCTTAAAATCTTTGGACCTTCTTTATTAGGCTTATATGTTCTTATGTACCATGCTTTCAAAGAAATCGTAATGTACTGTGAATAGCACTTCGAATTCGGTAGAACGTCTCGTTTACACATATTAGTGTACGTGTTTGAGGATGAAATTCAGTCTATAGTTTTCAACTGTTGCGTCGAAAAGATTTCGTCTGCAACAAGCAAAATTCGGATGCAATGTCGACCAAACATCCAACGAAAACCGTAAAAAAATCCTGGTATCGTACAGGTACAGTGCGTTCTGCCGACGTGCTCATTTATGGTATTCTTGCTTGGGTGCAACATGAGATTTCTTTTATTTTCCCTCCAGGTTTGTGGTGACCGTAGTGTGGTTCGGGTTAGCCTTGAACACGGCACAGTTGGGCGGGAACAACTATCTCAACTTCCTCATCATGAATCTCGTGGACTTTCCAGCACAGCTGTTTTCCATCTTCACAGTTAGTTACTTCGGAAGGTGCGTTTTAAACAATCGTGTTTAGGCCACGACAACTATAATTAGGCCACGAAACCTCAGATAGGATCTAGGAACAGGAAAACAGATTGAATTGATGGTTACTTTAAATTTAATTTCAACTCCGAAAATTCCATTCAACAGTCATGCTTTGCAAGCATATACAGTATATTATATATTGACGATAGATATTTTTTTCTTTTCAGACGCCCCTCCCTAACTTTCTTCATGCTGTTCGGTGGTGTTGCCTGTATCGTAACGCCGTATCTATCTCCACCGTTCCTTCCGAAATGTAAGTGATTTTGTGTCTGAGAAATGTGTTTAATTATTAATTTTAATTAAAGTTTCTTATAGTGAGTCCATTCTAGAAATTACTCTGCTGGCTTGGAAAAAAGAATGGTACATTCTACTACTACATTGCGAGCGTACTATGCTACTATCATGAAAATGACAGATTGGGTTTTTGAAACAATTCAAAACGTTTGTGACTTACTTTTTTTTCATCATCGATCTGACGTCTAGATCTAATCTATGATAATTGAGACGAATTGTCTCAAAGACATCAGAGGGAGTATACTCCCACCCGCCCGGAGGCCTGCACAGGAGGCTAGCTAAACGTTTCCCCACACGTCCGCCTTGGGGAACCCCCATTTCAGCACCAAGGACATCGCCCGACGGCGGACTGGCAGCCGGGCGGGCAGAGGCACCAGGCGGCCTGGAGTCAGCAGCTCGCGCCGATGTTTTTTACGGGAAGAAAGGGGAGCGACACGCTGCCGCGCAGTCGGACACTACCCTACGGGTAGTCTACCAGGATTTTATGACACTATCTTTCGGGGCATCAGTTTAGAAACATGGCTGTAACATTTATATCAGTGGAAGCGTTAGATTTATGTATGCACAGCTTTGTACAATTTGTATTCTGATGATATTCTTCATTCTATTTCAGATCTGCACCCGTTATCAGTCACTCTCCCCATGATCGGCAAGTTCGGCAACACCGCTGCTTTCTCCGTTATCTATGTCTGGACTGCCGAACTGTACCCAACTGTGGTCAGGTTAGTAATATACGGAGCAGAAAGGTTTTTAGTGGCTGTAAAAAAGAACTAGAACCTTCAAATATATGCACGTTTTTCCACGTTTTCATTTCTAAATGGACTATTTATTTCATATTCCAAACTCAAGATATCAAAAATGATGTGCAACTTTATTTCTATCTTAGAAATGTTGGCGTTGGAGCCTCTTCCATGTGGTCCAGAGTCGGCGGCATCGCTTCCCCCTTTGTGATGTTGTCAGAACAAGTCTGGGGACCTCTTCCGTACCTGATCTTCGGGGGTCTGTCCGTGGTGGCCGGCCTGGCCGCCTTACTGCTGCCCGAGACACGAGGTGTCCGTCTACCGGATACACTGGAGGAAGGAGAGAACTTCGGAAAGTGCGTTCAGTTTTGTTTGTCTGTTTATTTTGTAATCCAGGATATATATATGATATTGCCTACTGGCTGATTCATGGGGAGATAACCCCGACATAAAATCATCATCATAAAGTAAAAGATCAATTAAGCAAAAGTCTACCGAAAATAAATAATCCTTCGTATCAACACATTACAAACAATGCGTGAAAAGTAAATTAACATACCAATATATAGTTTTGAAGTTTCTTGCCCGGCAAATGGGCTATCGAAGTAAAATTCAAGTTCTTAATGCAGAGTGTACATGTGTTTACTAATAGGTAGAGAAAGTTGCGGTTCCTGCTACATATCTTTCTGTACCATCGTGTACCACAATTTTGAATGGTGTATACAACTGAATCAACACTGAAACAGCATTCGTGGTTCAATAAAAGTGTCTGTAGTTGTGAGTACAGCTACCGTATACTCTAAGAGCAAACGTCACAAATATGTATTTGTTTTGTTTTCAACACAGACGTACCGCCTACAAAGGATATACACCTGTACCTGCCGAGGAGAAAGTACCGGAGACAACCTGTAGTAATCCAGGCTTAAGACATGATGATGAGACGGTGAAAGAAGACCCAGAGGCCGTCTTAACTGACAACAAAGCAGCCATACAGTGTTCTGAGGACTGTTAGGTAGACTACTTGGAAGCTACTAAGTACATTCCTGTATGCATATATTCTGAAAAATTCAACAATAAATACATCTTATTAATAAATAGATAAATACGTTTTCATGGCCAACATGGCATATCCAACTCAATTCATTCACATTCCAGTGGCAGTGAAACTGTTAACCACACCCTGTTTAATACAGCTATTATTTAGAAACCTGAAAAATTTGAGGATGAACATGAAAAATGAAATGTATTTAGGTTTCTGCAGTGACCGTAAAACATGAAATACCCTTTTATCTTTGAATTTTTAGAATTAAAGACAATGTAACGTTATAGTTTCGCGGTTGTCATTACTTTACATTGTATATTCTTGGTTATGTGAAGCTGACCTGTATATGTGCAACAATCCCTCAATTCTTTATCTTTTTACTCTACATTTCAAAAGTGTCTTGAAGAGTAACTCCGTCAACTTGGCAAGATGCCTAATTTAGACTGATGTGAATACCTCGTTACTAGACTTAAGTCTGGCTGTTAGTGTTGGCTCAATCTATCCTCACTGAGAAAACATCTTAAACATTTTAAAAAGGCTTTGGCTCCACTTCCCAAAGATTACAAGTCGATCTTCCACGATGTTCTCTGCTGGTGTGTCCGTTACAATTCTCCCTTTGTCGGCAGATTCAGCCGCACGGTGGTTTGTTATGGATGTTCCCTTTTCTTTTCCTCCCTTGCCAGAGCTGATCGTCGACTCCAAGTTTCCCCCATAACTTTCTGCACAAAGAGATTACATTCTGTTGCATTGTTTTAAAAGTCAGACTAGTCTTCGTGAATATTCTCATACTTTAGTAGTTTGACTTATGATATCAACACCACACATTGTGTAATGGGCAATATTAGTATCACGTCTGAGCTATACAGGCTTTTTAACATGCGACATGTTGGGTTATGAAGTGTTGGTCTGTTAAACATACCAACATGCTACTTCTTAACCAACTTACCCGCCTGCACCTGATTAAATCAGTTTATCCGCCAACATCTGGTCGCCAGGATTCATATGATAAATATTATGACGTCAATGAATTATATAGTTAGGAGAATATTCTATCGTGTAAATAAGTCACTGTGTAAAGCAGCGCAATACATGCTTGTGTAACGTCTACCTAACTGTGTGCGTATAAAGTGGATAACACCCGGTTCTAAGCACTGTATGAAACTATATAAAGTGCATATAAACAGAGAATGCCTTCTAGATTTGGAGTGTAGCTCTTGTATACGAACTCAGAATTTTTGGCATATCTAGTATTAAAAGAAATGTTTAAAAATCAACATTTATCAGTATCAAGTTTGGTTAAGTGGTCTAAAATCTGGGCATCAAATATTCACCTTGTGAGGTTTTAGACATCGGGAATGGTGTCACTTCCGGCGATGATTCCTTCGCGTAGCCATTGGTTGACTTCATATGTCATAAAATATAAAGAATGCAATCAGAACTAGAGTTACTCGACGTCATACCTACTATACGTCAAATAATGTTTACCTTACAACTATTCTAAATGTTTCTCATTGCTTATGCAAATAATTATAAAATGAATATGCCCTCATGTATATGCCCTTCTTTACACCATTAGAAATGACTTTCTTTCTACTTTTTATGTATGCTGCAATTGTGGCAAATAGTTGATTGTATCCACTCACTGTGGTCATGGACTTGTGGTCAGTCACACTAGCTCTCCCAGTGGTGTAGATTGTGTCCGCTTCAGACTGACATGAAAAGAGACATGATAATCGTAGTCAGTTATTTGGTTATATACAGACTGTCAAAAGCAAAGAAAAGATTTCCACCTCGCTCAACTGATCTGAATACAGCGACGAACAATAGTTATATATATTTGTTGTCAACTTTGTCATGGAACAAGGAAAATTTGCTCATGTTCATGAATTTGCTACCCTAATTGACAAAACAGGGTGGGGCGTGTGAAAACAAAAACAAACGGACCAATCTATGAAACGCGACATGAACGTTATATAATAGGTCTGGATTCAAGACATCTAACGCCATACTGAGGTATACTATAATCCCTTTTAAAAATAGCAACCAAAACTAAGCACAAGAATATATCTCACTGAGACATTGTGTGTTTGCGTTTTGTTTAGAGTGACCAATAAACACGCTTATAAATACCAAACAGAAAATAAAGAATAAAGCAAGAACAAAACACCTGATCACCTTTTGTCTGAAATGTATCGCAGCAAAGATTCCTCCGAATATACAAGTCGACAGGATGGTAGCTGTTATCACAACGCCCACACAACGATACGAGAAGCCTGAAAAATCACCTATAGTACATAGCATCTCCAGTGTTTGCATAGGAAAAGACAATTATTCTAAATCACTTAAAAAGGAAAAAGCAGGCTATAGCATTTTTCTCGCCAGCGTTCGCCTTTCCGTCATTTGATGGAACCTAGCTGATCATGACGAACAAAATTTTGCGCAATCCAAGGACAATAAATTACATGGATAGAGATTTCATTACACTAAGCTTGGTCTACAGGCAAAATTTGCCCCTCAACATGCAGGAAATAGCATTTCAGAGGGTCAAGATTTTGACATTTTCCCGGGGGAGGTTTGCCGTGTTGAGAGCTCTACATGGTATTACGATGACGGAAAAGAATTCAGGCTGGCTAACAAGTTAATGTATCTATACGAATTCAGCTCATTAGATTTATTTGTTGAAAATACAAGTGGTGAATCAGAGAAACCTGTTTTCTTAATATCTGTATTGATTATCATCCTGAATAAGATGCAGAATATATACAGAATACATTACAATGTCATTGACTAGTCTGGACAAGAAGAAAATTAGTTTGAAGTATACATAATTTGATATTTGTATCTTACCGTAGGGTCGTTGTGGAAGAGCTGGGGCATTTGGCACGTACATCAAATTGGGGATGAGGTCGTTGGGCGAGATTTTGGGGATGTGCAATGGATGGATCTCCGATGTTTTGTATGTT